AGGCATGGAAACATCTTAGCTAGAGAGCATGGATTGTTTTCCATCTATTTCTCATTTGGTTTAGTAACGTTTTTGTGCAAAGATAGACGTTATGTATTTCAAATAACGAGAAAAAAAGAAGTTTGTTTGAATAACCAGTGAGTGCTTCTCGTGTGTGTGTATATATAGATAAGTGAAGGGTAATGACCTAAGATTTTTGGATTGAAGCAGTAAGAAGCATCCGCGAGACACGCTGGGTCATAACTATGAATAGCGAGTTATTTTTGTTTCATATCATTTATATAAATTTCAGTCGTACATAGGTTAATATAATAAAACATTTTCCTCATAAATTACAAACATATGACTTATTTTTTATAATTGATTTGGGTTGTGGTGATGTTAACATTTGCAGAAAAAGGAGTTGTACAGCAGTTGCTGCTGCAATGCAATAAATAAAAGAATACAAAATGCAATTCCCCATGAAGGTGTATGGTATAGGATTAAGCAAAGCCCGCAATTCAATGGGAAGAAAGGTTTGTCTGAAGTTGCCAAAGGTTTGGTAATGGCAATGCTATGAAGTGAAATGACAGTAGATGTGTTACCATAATGGGAATCTCATGCAATCATTTACTTAATGGATGTGGCGTGTAAGAAAGCTTCGCTCCCAAGACAAATCAGTGTCACAACAAAAACCAAGTACACATCTTCAGCCTTACATTGCATTGCATGCATACATGCTGTTGCTCATGGATGCATGCCTGTAATGTGGATTTTTCCCATTGCTCTCTTTCATAACTCATTAGCAAAGATTTCATACATTGCAGATTGAAGATTGAAGATCGCAGTTTGCAGTTATCAGTGCAATTAAGATCAAAAAGTTGCCCCTAACGTATCCTGTCAACCTGCTCATCACCAGAGTTAGGTACCCAAAGCTATCAGAGCTGACGACTTTTGCCAACACTTTTGCTAAACATATATTCCTTTTAAAATCTTACTAATATATCCCACATCTATACACGTCACATTTTCCTTTAAATATGTTTTAGTAAGGTTAAGCAATTTTCAGTCAAATTCAATTTTAATTTCTAAACTTTAAAATCAATAAATTTTATCTCTCCATTTATAAGAATGTGAGGCATGATAGTCGAGTGATTTTTTTTATTAATGGGAATTGAATTAGCTATTAAAAATTTGACAAATCAGTCATGATCATTTATATATATATATATATATATATATATATAATATTTAATAATAATAATAATAATAGTTTCTTTGAATGTTGATGATTGATCATGATGAAAAGGTGATTTCTTAAGGAGATTTTTATGTTTAAGTAAATTTAGATTTTAGTTTTGGTTAAGAATTATTGACATTAAGTATAAGTTTAAACATTCACACCAAATTTTATATTTTTAATAATTTTTTATGTAATATAAATTTAATTGATTTAACTATTGAATCATATGATATTTGTTAAGTACCAATTTTATCTAAGTTTTATGCATGTTTTACTTGTAAATTGATATAGCTTTTTTTTCTTCTTTAGAAATTGTTTAAGATAACACACTTTGCTAATATATTTATACTTATCTCATTTTAATCCAATTCATTGTAATTATATCACTTTTTGATTACTTGTGATGTGTGTTATTTTGTAGGAAAAATAGAAAGAAAATTTGATAAATAGAGGGGAAGAGAATTGGAGACTTGAGCAAATTTGCAAGAAAGAAGATGAAATTAACTATTTAAATTCAAATTCAATTAAGCATTAGAATAAAATTTTGAGCAAATTTAAGACAAAAATTCAATTGCTCTCTTGGCAAATTTTAGTTCAAGTAAAAATCTCAATGCTCAAGCATTTGAATAAAAGCTCAAGCAAATTTTGAATGCCTAAGCAAAAATTATTTTCTTCACCTTAAAGGATTTTTTTGACTCGAGTAAATTTCCTAAAACTTAAGTGAATCTATGGTGACTTGATCACTATATTTTGAAAATCACAGCATATTTAAGACCAAAGGTGGAGAACAAGATTGAATGACTAGACTTAAAATGAACCATCTACCGACCCAAGTTGCTAGGAATAGAGCTTAGATTCGTATTTTAAAAAGGATTTTTCTTAATGCAAATTTCTCTCTTGAATATTCAAGGAATGGGTATTCAATAAAAAAAAATCTTAGAACCTCTTTATCAAGGAATAAGTATTGAGTGAATTTAATACTAATCAAAATAGTGAATAGGTATAAGAAGTGAAATCCAATCTCAAACATCTCATATTTGAACTTTTCAACTTTTAGTTGCAAGTTTGTCACATATTTTATGTTTTTATCAATTTGAACTTTTAGTTTAATGAATCAATGAACTTTTGAAAGTGTACTGTATATATTCATTTTTTGCTTTTTTAGATTAATTGAGAATCAATCAATCAACCTATTTCTTGAGGTGACCTTACTCATCACTGTTATAAATTGACTCTAGTATACTTACCACATGATCAACATTATTATACTTAAGATCACGATACCAAATTTTATATGATTTGAACTTTTCTATATATGTTATCCAAAAATTGATATTTACATATATTTTAAATATCATATTATGCGTTAAAATAAAATAATATGATGAACTATTAAATAATTTGAAGTCATGTGAAATTTGATATACATGATCTTTCATTGGTTTGATTGGTTAAATTTATATTATATAAAAAATTATTGAAAGTATAAAATTTGGTGTAAGTGTTTAGACTTACATCTTGTATCAAGGTATCCCAAATCTCTTTCTCTCTATTTATATATATATTTCAAATTTTACTCCTAGACTAACAATTTTTTTTAAAATTTTTTTAGGTTACATCAAGATTTTTTTTTTGTTACAATCAATTATTAAAAATGTAAGTGAATTAATTATTATAATAGTTAAAACAAATTAAATTATTATAAAAATAATAATAATAAACTAGGTAAAATGTGATTTTGGTCTTCAAAAATATGGACAAAATTAGTTTTAGACCCTACAATTTAAAAAATCATAGTTTTGGTCCTTGTCGTTTTTAAGAACATTAAGGCAGGTCGCAGGCCTCTTTAGTGGTATCACCTAACCTTTGAGAAGTGTCCTTGAGCCTATTTATATAATATTATAAAACTTATTAGTCTACATAGTTGTACAACAAATCCTGTTTTTATAGTTTTATATTATTTTAATAAATAGATTATAATCATTGTCTCTTTTCATGCTTCTTGTAAATCTTTTGTGATACTGCGCAGAAGTGTTTGTTTCTTCAACAACACAAGAGACACAGATTAAAACTTCAATCACAAACCAATATATTGTACTAGGATCCCTAATCTTGAGAAGAAAACTCTCATTATCCCCAAGAAAAATGTATCGAAAATTTATCCATGAATTTTTCACCTTCTAGCACCTCATGGTTGTACCACCGAACTGACCTCTAGCTGAATATCATGGCTTGTAATACTTAGAAGCATTAATAGGTTTTCTATCATACTCTACTTCAGTCGTAAGCCTGCGGCATAGAACTCCATATAGGGCTTTCTTTTTTAACTTACGTATGCCTATGAACCGGAACTACTTTCAAGAAAAATAGAAGAAGAAAAAGCAAATTGCATTGTGTCTATATTAGCAGACAGCTTTACCAAAGAAATATCCTAATCTTGTTTGGTTCTGTCACAACTGCGGCATCTGAAACAAACTGAGCTGCTGCAGTTTGTAAAAATGTTTTTCTTTTGTACCTACTTATATATGGTAGCCTTTTAATTTGACAGCATTGTTGAGAAATATAAATTTAAACTCTGCAATTTGCGTTAAAAACATTAAAATGTTTTGTGCACGTCAAATTAGCCAACAAAAAATTGCTTCTTATGATTTTGGGATGTATTTTCAAGATGTTGACATATGAAAAACATGAGTGAGAAACATAAATAACTACATATGATGTCAGCTTTGATATCAATTTTTTCTTGATAAAATCATGGAACTAAATAGTATTACTCCTCGGCGTTTATTTCAAATCATGTCAGAATAATGAAGTGGCGTGACAAGTTCGGTATTGGTCTATCTAGTTGTTTCCCCGTTCTTTAACATGACATTTTGTGTCTGCATTTGTAGAAACTTGCAATCATTGAAGAGAGATAACATCAGCTATTAAACCATGCTTGGATGAAATTCATCTTCATAGAACCCAATTCCTAATTTTAATTAATAACAAATCACCCATGCACACAAGAAAATCCTTGTGCCATAACAGAAGTTACGACAGATTGAATGTTATATTCTACATGGAAACATGCAATGTCAATTGGATTTGAAGGTTATTGCTAAAATTAAAACAAAGTGATGAAGCAGAGTCTCGCAGTTCTGTTCCCTCATACTCATACATCCATCCACCTATAGAAATGACATGTTTCTGTAACATTGAGGTGATTCTTAACAATTAGCTAACTGTTATATTTTAAGTTAGAGACTGTTAGACAATTAATCTTGTCCATAATATAAACTCCTAAATTGTATACAGTCTATGAAATGGATGTTAACATGATTTAGAATTTTGCCTAAACAAAACTCCCAAATTGTGTCTATCTATGGATTTGTGATGTTATGCGGATGTTTTCTAAAAAAACATATTTGCACAGCTTATGTTGTGCATAAGAGAACAAGCAGAAAAACTATTGCCTAACATAAGAGAAGGGCATGCTTAATGTTCCCCCCTCTTTAACTGCTATCAGTTTTGTGGTATGTCATGATTCTGATTCACTGCAATATCTTTAGAGGCTTTTTGACTAGGAAACAGAGGAGTAAAAGCCTCCAATTGAACAACAATACTACTACAGTTCAATGCCTGCATCTCTCAATTGAATTATAAATCTTGACATGCACTGAGAAAGAAAGGGAGTGAAGCTTCAACTTTTGCCCCTAAAATTGGCAACAATCGCTAGATAAACATTTCAAATTTGTGAATCTAATTCCGAACAAGAGCAAATAAGAAAAGGCAAGAATGAAAGAGGTAAATAGTGAATACGAGAAGGCATAAAATTAAAATTTAGGCATACTGAGTAGCATAGTCTGGAATTTATAGATTCATGAAATGAAGGCAAAGTTTATTAAAAAGCGACGATGGAATCGAAGTCGAAGTCGAAGTCGAATACTTTTAGTGGTGGTTCCCGGATTTGACCTGCAAATAGGGCTAGGGTTAGGGCAAGTCTGATAGAGAAGAGAATGGAAATAACAGTGAATTGTGAATTGCGTACGTGAGAAGGAGGAGACGCATAGAGGTTGTTGTAGACTTGCTCGCCGACGAGGTAGATGCCAAAGGCGACGAGGGCGATGCCGAGACCAGGGGTGGCGTGACGCAGCTGATTCGTCAGCATCGGATGCTTCCTCCATTCATCCCTTCTCCTGAAGAACTCTCCCGTGTGTTTTCCCTTTCCCGATCCCATTTCCTCTTCTCTCTTCTCTCTTCTCTCTCTCCCCTTCACTCACCACTTTTTCTTGCTTTTCTTTCTCTCTCTCCCCCTTACTGGGCTCACCCCGGCCCAATAAGAATAAGAAGCCCATGGGCCAGGTGTAATTAATTATATGAATATGAATATGAATATGAATATGATGAGGCTATGGTGTTCTGGTTGGTAAACTACAGTCACCAACCACAGGGGCAGGGGCAGAGTCAGAGTCAGAGTCAGAGGCAGAGATGGTAGCTATTGCATTTCAACAAGCTCTCCCATTTCGTCTCTCTTATTCTCCTTCTCCTTTGGCCTTCCCAATCATTCACAAATTCTCCAACGCAGGCAAGTGAGTCAATGCCATCTCTTTTCTCATCTGCTTTTCTTTCTTTCAACTCCATACCTTGTTCAATCAGGTCGTCATGCGATAACTATCTGTTCAAAGAAACATGCGAAATCAAGGCTCACCCTCTGCTTTGCTCAGGCACAACCCGTGGCAGTAAGTGCTTCTGCTTCCATTCACTCATTCATGCTTATATTTTATGAATTATGGTTGTGTTACGCAGGGGCAGGAGCACAAGGTGGAGTCTGGTAATGATGTTGTAAGAGACACAAGTGTGTCCGTTGTTCTATTGGCTGGAGGCCAGGGCAAGAGGATGGGAGTCTGTTCTATTCTCTTCTCTTTATTCCAAATTCATTCATAAATCATAAATCATAAATCATAAATCATAAATCATAATCCTATTTCTTTCTTATCATAGGCTACCATGCCAAAGCAGTATCTTCCTCTTTTGGGTCAACCCATTGCTCTCTATAGGTAATCACATCCTATTTTCCTTGCATTCTGCGGACCCTCCACAATCACTCTTTCAACCATCTATCATATAATTATGCCAATCCTTTGCAGTTTCTACACCTTTTCTCACATGCTTCAAGTCAAAGAAATTGTTGTGGTTTGTGATCCTTCCTACAAGGACATTTTTGAAGGTTACCCCCTTCCTTTGTTTCTTTTGTAAACCATGTCTTTGCTTCTTGCTTATTTATATATATATATATATATATATATATGGATTTGCAAAAATCATTATGTACAATATATTTAAAATTGAACAAGTTATACAAGAAAAATCGATTTTAGAGATCAAATTTCGTCATTGGTTATTATGGATGCTATTAGCAACTAATTAATAAATATTTTGACTACAATAAAAAAACTACTAAATTAAACTGTCAGAACACCACCGTGCATGTATATATATATATATATTATTTTATTTTATTTTTTTTGCCCCAGATGCCAAGGGAAATTTACAACCACAACTCAAATTTGCCCTGCCTGGGAAAGAAAGACAAGATTCTGTTTACAATGGCCTTCAGGCATGTTCAGTTGCTTTTCAATCTTAATCGTGGCTTACTTTCATGCATACTAAGCCATTTCGTTACTTCAATTTTATTTACTTCTTAGAAATTTCTTTCCAAATAATGATATCCAGATTTGGGAATGAGAACCCATCTGATACACACAAAAAGAAAAGAAACCTGAAATGTGGTTGGATATCCAACATATAGCCAGTTACCAAAACCATTTTTCTCGTGAATCATTCATCATAATTATATAGTTAATTCATCCTTGATAAATTTTTGGTCAAACCGTCAGAAGCACTGAGTCGCCTTGCTGGGTGAATCAATCAGTGATGTAATATAGCTGAAATCTAATTGCTTAATATGTCAAGACAATATTAATATTAATAGTTTGGTTTTCTATTCATCCACGTTTTCAATTGATTTCAAGTTTTCACACACTCAAAATAATGTGTTGTGCTGTTAAAAATCTTGTAAGATATTAATTTAACTGTGATCCACATGACAACATCTGCTTTTGGTGTTTGATTCTGAGTTGCATAAGTTAAAATTAGCAAGTTTCTGTAAGCATTTGTGGATCCCATGTTATCATTGAGTTGTTGATCCCTTTAATTATTAAATGCTTTTTTTTTTTTTTTTTTTTTTTTTTTTTTTTTTTTTTTTTTTT